TCTCAGGGGTAACCTCCCTGCCTGCAGATTCCCCCCAGTAGAACCTCCACATTCTTGCCAAAGCAATTTTTCCTGAAGCAGAAGTCAAAATGCCAGTCCCTGTTCAAAAACCATGAATGGTTCCTCAAAGCTCTGGAATGAAATCTGAATTCTTTGCCCACCTTTCAAGTCCCTCAAGAAGGTAGGTCAGCCCCAGCTTCCTGTGCCCATTTCATTAAATAGACTGTGAAACAATCTCCAAAGATGGTGTGCTCTCTTGAAGGTTCTCAGTCTTTGTTTACGCTGGTCCCCTTTTCTGTCTGCCATGTCCTCCTCATTGAAATGCTCTCATCCTTAAAGGGGATGAGCATTGAGTAAAATTGTCCCTGACCCTGCCCTCCTTTCCAAGACAGACTCCATCTCTCATTCATTCAAGTACCCACCGCACCTTTTCATACCTCTATCCTAAAACAGAGCGTGCTGGTTAATAGTTTGTTAAGCACAAGTCTGTCTATTCAGTGAAAGTGCAGTTCCTTTAAAGATAGAAGCCATGACTTCCTCATTTTTATGTGCCCTGTTCCACAGACAGAGCAGCAACTAAATATCAGATTGCCTATTGTCATGTGTCTAAATCAAATGCTTGAGTTCTAAAATAAAGATAAAAATCCCATCTCAATCTGCTTATCCCTTTAGGAATCCTTTATTTTAAGAGAGTTTTTTGCTAGAGGGCATGTGCATATGCCAGAGAGACAGAAAAAAATCAGAGACAGAGAGAGAGAAATCACTTCCCCCGCCCCAGGGGGGATATACACACCACAATCCCTTCTCCTCCATTTTCCTCTCAGGAGTTTGGGCACACACGCACATGTGACTGGCATGAGTTTTGAACCCCTGGATCTGGAACTCAAACTGTGGTCTGCCATGTGGGAGTCCAGTGATGTAACCACTACATCATCTACTGGGATATTTCTTGGAATCTTTTAACTCCCCGGAAAGACTAGCTTGCTTTGAAGCAAAGCAAAATGGAATGGTACAGTATAGAAAATACCTGTTCCTAAAAGCTTCCCTACCCCAGTTTACCATCAACCAGCTTCCAGTACCCAAAAAATGTTACTGTAAGAATCACAAGCAAAAAAAATGTTCTATTCCCAGAGCAATGTTCATTTTTTCCACCATTATACTAGATTGGCAGCAAAGGACTCATGTATCTTTTGGCACATTAAATTTGAATTTGTCTTCCAGTTTGATTTTATGCTGGGGATGGGTACAATGATCCATTTGGGGGCCCTAATACTCTGGGAGTAAATATGAAACACTTGCCTCTAGGAGGCCCTGTTGAGAGACAATGGCTGCCAGTCCTGAAAAAGTCAACCATGCATGGAAGGCAGAAGACTGGCCTCTGATCTCAGCTCTCTTCTGAAGTCACTGCTAACCCTCCCTGCTAACTGACTTCTTGCGCCCCCACTGCCCAGCTCACAGGTAAGTTGTTCCACATCTCTGAGCTCTAGTCTAGCCAGCCATAAAGTGGAAACAAGGAATTGCCCCCTGTGTAAAGTGACTGTTAGGGAATAATAATTGACAAGACTCTCTAGTGATTTAAACCAGCCCTTTGTCGTGGAAGCCCTTGTCATTTAAAAACTACATGAAGAAATGAGGAGCCAATTGGGAACTGGTTAGCCATGGAAAGGAAAGCCCACAGAGACACGAAGGTCCACTAACATGGGTTAAAGCATTTTCATGTGAAGGAAGATGTAGTCTTAATCTGTAAGAGGCTCCAGAAAGGATCTCAGAAGAAAGCAGTACAGTACCATGTTAAAGTGGCATCAGAACTGAACAGACATGGGCCAGCTCTGCCATTTATTGGGCAAGTTATAATTTTGGTGGACTTTAAAATGGAGGCAATAATTGTACCTATCTAATTGAAACTTTTGAAAAATTCAAAAATATAATCCATGCAAAATACACACTGATAAACCAAAGACAGATCTTAGTAGGTGTTCAATCCCTAATAAACTCTCTGATTCTCCATATTTTACTGGTAAACTGAAGGTAATATCTATGCCTGCCTACAAGGTTACTGTAAGCTTTAATAAGAAAATGAATGTAAAAACCCTGAGTCCAATATCTAACACATAGTGAAGTCCTCATAAGATCATCATCATGCTTATTAGTATGAATATTTCATTAAATAAATAAATAAGGAAGAGACAAAGGTAAGTGAAAAGAACATGACCTTTTATCTCAGACCAAAAGGCAAAGTAAAGTGAAATAGGGTCTAAGAGTTTAGATTCAGAGCTAAACCTTCTGGATCTGGTACCTGAGAACATTTAGGTAAAATGCAGATATGAGCATCTGTTAAAGAAGACTAAAGAAGTTACCCATGGAGCATGGTGGCGCCCACTCTATGGCAAAAACTTATGGAGACTGGAGGATTGCGGCATCAAGTCCATCTCACTCTCTCTCTGTCTCTCTTGACGAGTGCACAATTTTTTTCACCCCCAACACACACCACATCCCAGATGGAAAAAAAAAAAAAAGAAGTTACCCACGAAATCAGCTTGACACTGGCCCAGTACATAATATGTGTAGGATAAACCCTGTTTTCTTCTTTAACGACTAAATATAAAATGGAGAATGACTGGCCCTTTTTTGAGGGGGTGGGGGAGGAGATTTTTGCTATTGGGCATGTGTACTCCCTGGAGAGACAAAGAGACAGAAAGCAAGAAATCAACCCTGGGGGGATGGCTACACCGCAATCCTTTCTCCTCCATTCTCCTTTCAGGATTTTTGGGCACACACACATATGCACCTGGCATGAATTGTAAGCTGCCAAGTCTGAGACTCGAACCGCAGTCGACTACATGGGAGTCCAGCGACATAACCATTATGCCATCTGCTGGTCCCATGACTAGCCTTCTTATAAGAAGCTCTTGTTCAACAATGTAGTCTATGGCTATAGTAGCTAATATTCTCTTGCCTAGGATTTGGTCAAGAAAAAAAGAAATTAAAATGACCAGGGTATTAAAGAAAAGGGTAATGTATCAGATGACCTTTTGTCCCCTTGTGATTCCATGTAAAATAGAGCAAGATTTAAATAGTATAAAGGATGATATTTTGAGAATGGCTTGCCTACCCTCCATCATCTTTCAAAGTTCTTCCTTCTCTTCTGCTAAAAGTTAGTCCCCAACCCTTACCCCAGCCCCCACACAAAAAGGTTTAGATCATTGTACCAAGTTTCCAGTGATCAACTTCTACTCTAGATTTTCTGTCTTCTTACTATAAGAGTTGGCACATACCATAGGACCAACAGATGGAGTAATGTTTACAACACTGGGCTCCCACATAGTCGCCCGTGGTTCAAGTCCCAAACCTGGTGGCTTAAACTCACACCGGGCATGTTTGTGTGCATGCCCAAGATCCTGAGAGGAGAATGGAGAAGAAGGGATTGTACCATGGCCATCCCCCCTAGGGAGTGATTTCTCGCTTTCTGTCTCTCTGTCTCTCTCTTTCTTTCGAGTAAGCACAAGCACCCTATAGCAAAAACCTCTCAAAAAAAAAAAAAAAAAAAAAAAATAGAGAGAGAATGCCAAAGGGGGCCAGCAGGTGGCATGGTGGTTAAGGGTGCTGGACTCCCACATGGCTGATTGTGGTTTGAGTCCTAGACCTGGTGACTAACTTTCTCACTTTCTTGCCCCCCACCCCCACCCCCCATGTGTCCCTCTCTGGTCAAATTAAAATAAATAAATAAATTTAAATAGAATAATTCTTTAAAAAAAAATAAAAATAACATGCCCAAGCTTTTCAATATCAAATCACCTTTGCATTTCATCTTGATTCATAGTCTTATTTGAAAATAAAAACTTATTCACTCTTGTCTGTCCCCTCCAAATCTATCTTCTGAGCCTTCATGAGTGATGTTACATCAAGACTCTCAGAATTAAAGGATGACTGTTTTCTGGCTAATAAACCTATATAAAAACATTTAAACTCACAGTTAATAAGAATAGGAAAAGAATGAGATGAGATTTTCTCCTTAGAAGATGGAAACAAATGGTCATTTCAAATGTAAAGAGGAATGGAAAAGCAGATGTCCTGTGGGTAGGAAAATAAATTGGTACAGCCTTTCTTGAGAAATATCTTGTAAAAGCTATTAAGTTTAAAAGTGTACATTTTTTGAATCTAGTATTTCTGCTTCTGGATTAACACCCTCGCTAGAGGAACACTTGCATAAATAGTTAAGGAGCCATACATGTACAAGGATGTCCACTATAGAACAATTTATAAAATTTATATTGCCCCTCAATAAGCAATAGATATTACGAGTACCCATAGTATAAAATAGTATACATCATTTCACATAGCGATGCAGATCTATGTGGACTAAAAGGAAAGCGTCCAATATATAACATCAAATGACTAAAACAAAAATGCAGAAAACCACATATGGTTTGATAGCATGTTTTTAAAGTACACCAAAAAGCCCTCTATCTTTCTATACACATATCTACATATGCAGGAATGGATGAACTAGAATGACCATCTTCAACAAATAACAGTGATTATCTTGGGAGGAGGGAGCTGGGATTGAGCACAGAGAATCAGAGAGAATTTTATTTCTGTTTCTTTGTATCCTTCACACACACACACACACACACACACACACACACACACAAAGCATTAATGCAATGATTGTCTCATTTAAAGTAGAGTGATGAGAGTTTGAAAAGTGAGTAAGTGATGTTCCTGCTACCATGTTCGGCTTTAGTCAGAAGTTGCTAAAAAGAAGGGCAATCTCAACAGAGAGGATTCTGAAAGGAACCGAGGGGTGAAGCCAGCACTCAGGCTTGTGCTGTGTTTCGCTTTCAGCCTAGCCCTCAGGAGGATGTGGGATGTGGCTCCCATGGAATTAAAACAGCTGAGTCCTGAGACAAGCGTGCAGACAGCCGGTAGTTCCCAGGGGCCAGCAACAGATTGTTCCCACAGCCAAAGACAAACTACTCACGAGAGCAGAGTCCCCTTACCTGTAGTCTGAAGAATAGTCACTGAATCACTGGTTTCCTGCATCGGTGACTGAGATGTGGATGGGAGAACTGAAGCTTTGGACTCTGGAAAAATAAAGAAAAATAACACAAAACAAAACAAAAATAGGTAAGTGTCTGTCTCCCTGCTTTTGGTAGCCCACTGTCTCTTACACTGTATTCTGTCATGAAAGAAGAAAAGCTGAGGTCTACTGAGTATTTAGTGTATGCTAGACTGTTCTGTGTGCATTTCCTCCTCCATACACTGATCTGCATGCAGGTCCTAATTTAATCCTCAAAAAGAACCACAGGATAGATGCTATTCTTATCCTGATTTTACCAATGGAAAAACTAAGGCCCAGAGTGATTAGGTAGATTTCCTCAAGTCTCACAGCAGGTAAAAGACTGACTTTGTACTTAAGCCACTGCACACAGCGATCACTCTACCTTACCACTTCCCTA